AAGTATCAGATAGCTTATCCCACTAATAACACCAACAAGTATCAGATAGCTTATCCCACTAATAACACCAACAAGTATCAGATAGCTTATCCCACTAATAACACCAACAAGTATCAGATAGGTAATCCCACTAATAACACCAACAAGCATCAGATAGCTTATCCCACTAATAACAAGCAGATTTGGGGGAAGTGTTCTGATAACTTAATTGTGTTTCTTTGAGTGTGAAATAATGAAACTGGGTAAATGTAAATAAATAAACAAATAAACATACTGTGTGTACTTGTGTGTGTACTTTTGCATGTACTTGTGTGTGTACTTGCATGTACACTTGTGTTTGTACTTTTTGCATGTACACTTGTGTGTGTACTTGTGTGTACACTTGTGTTTCTACTTTTTGCATGTACACTTGTGTGTGTACTTGCATGTACACTTGTGTGTGTACTTGTGTGTACACTTGTGTTTGTACATTTTGCATGTACACTTGTGTGTGTACTTGTGTGTACACTTGTGTGTGTACTTGCATGTACTTGTGTGTATACTTGTGTATCTACTTGTGTGTGTACTTGTTTGTACTTGCATGTACACTTGTGTGTGTTCTTGTGTGTACACTTGTGTGTGTACTTGAGAGTACACTTGTGTGTGTACTTTGCATGTACTTGTGCATGTACACTTGTGTTTGTACTTGAGAGTACACTTGTATGTGTACTTGAGAGTACACTTGTGCGTGTACTTGAGAGTACACTTGTGCGTGTACTTGAGAGTACACTTGTGCGTGTACTTGAGAGTACACTTGTGTGTATACTTGAGAGTACACTTGTGCATGTACACTTGTGTGTGTACTTGAGAGTACACTTGTGTGTGTACTTGAGAGTACACTTGTGTGTGTACTTGAGAGTACACTTGTGTGTATACTTGAGAGTACACTTGTGTGTGTACTTGAGAGTACACTTGTGTGTGTACTTGAGAGTACACTTGTGCATGTACACTTGTGTGTGTACTTGAGAGTACACTTGTGTATGTACTTGCATGTACTTGTGTATCTACTTGTGTGTGTACTTGTATATCTACTTGTGTGTGTACTTGAGAGTACACTTGTGTGTGTACTTGAGAGTACACTTGTGTGTGTACTTGTGTATCTACTTGTGTGTGTACTTGTGTATCTACTTGTGTGTGTACTTGCATGTACACTTGTGTGTGTGTACTTGCATGTACACTTGTGTGTGTACTTGAGAGTACACTTGTATGTATACTTGAGAGTACACTTGTGTGTATACTTGAGAGTACACTTGTGCATGTACACTTGTGTGTGTACTTGTACAGATAAAATAACAGACATTTCTACTAGAGTTTGTTTAGCTCCACAGTGTTCTTTCTCTTAGAACTAAACACAATAATCTTAAACTATGTCTTCACTCGATGATATCGTCAAGATGGCGTGCCCCTATTCAACAAGTAAACTCATTTTCTTTATACAGTTGACAGTGTAGCCTTGTGACATTTTTTCCATCATAGCATTGGTTACCTGTTACCTTTAGTCAACTTTCCAGCAAAAGATATTACAGTGCCAATCCTCTATACTACATATTACTGCAATAGGTAAAATAGCGATAATCTACAAAACGGTTCTAAAGGTAATCTTAAGGACTTTCTGGACCACATTTTGTGACCATTACAGCATGGAAACTAAAAAACAAACAAGTAAACATTACACATTTCTATATAACTAAAGTAGATAGAAAACATGTGATATACTTACATTTCACACTTTTTAACAAATCTCTCACGGAATTCTATAGAAGAGCTTCTTAAAATCAAGATACTTCAGCTAGCCAAGTTGACTAATACTTCCAATGTTATTTAAGTGTACTAAAACTGTCCTCAAGCGAGTGGACAGAAAGAATTTTACTATTTTGGCTTATACTGAGGCCTTCTTCAGGTTGAAGTGAAAATTGTTAGCCGTGTAGTGTCTTTTTATTGTTAGTGTGGTTCTCTGACATTTCCTCCTTATGTACTTTCTTGTTAAACATAAAGCTACAAAATGTGGCTATCTGTGTTGTGACTGCCATGAAAAGAAATTAATAGTACTATTGGGTTTTCACTGTAGTTGATCATGCAATATCAAACATAGTTCAAATACTTATCTTTTTCCAATCAAGAAGTAAACCTTTATTATCTTCACAAAAATAAAGTTTAGAATATATACCTTATAATAAAGTAGAAACAGCAAACGTTTTAACTATCTAACCTTCCAAGAAAATCATCTTTAGATGTTTTGTCTTTATCCATCACTTCAACATCTAATGTCATCTCTTGAACTTGGTTGACTATTGCCTTCAAAGGGAAACAAACAATATTTTAATTCCTGTTTGGTAAATAATGTAAGTAACTTTTAACTATCACAAAAATACAAACACACAATACTCCAGCTTCCACTGTGGTACAAGTTGGGTGGCATCAAATGTGGCCAATCTCATTCAGAATGATGAGAAAGTGATCACTGCCCCGTGGGTCATTGTCGACCCTCCAGGAAAAAATAAGGAAGTAGGAAAGGGGAACAAATGGACAGATTAATAGCAGTAAAAGACTGGCTAGGTGCATGAACCAGTATTGAAGAGAGAAAGGTTATGATCTGAGAACACACGCTCCACAGAACGACCCCTCCCATCAATATTGGCACTACTCCAGAGAGGATTGTGTTCACTAACGTCTCCTAAAGTAGATGGCAACTGTACAATAACATTATCAGGATCTATTTGGTTATAATTCTCTCCCAGTCACAATAAAAGTTAGTATGACCCATGTGAACACGGATAGCAACAGACTCCAGTGGCACAGACATGGTGGGTGCATGCTGGTCACACCCCCATGAACACATCCATCACACAACTTGTCATTCTTCTAAAAGGAAGAATGACATGAAGGGTGACAGCATCAGTAAGTCTGAGGAATGTTTCGAACCTGTAAGGAGACACGCAGGACAAAAGGAATCAATCAAGACATTAATGTCATCTAAATTAGAATGGAAATCGGGACATTTTTATTTAGTAGTAGGAGAACTGGGTGGAGAGCCTTTTTGTTTATTAGAAATAGGTCTATGGACCTCCATGAACCCTGTCCTAGGTCAGTTGTGTAGGTATTCTCAATGAGAATACAATAAGTGAATATATGACAGAATAATGGTCCTATACCTTGGGATCAATTGTGTAGGTCTCTGTCAGATGAATGAGAATACAATAAGTGAGTATGTGACAAAATAATGGTCCTGTACCTTGGGATCAATTGTGTAGGTCTCTGTTAGATGAATGAGAATACAATAAGTGAGTATGTGACAGAATAATGGTCCTGTACCTTGGGATCAATTGTGTAGGTCTCTGTCAGATGAATGAGAATACAGTAAGTGAGTATGTGACAGAATAATGGTCCTGCACCTTGGGATCAATTGTGCAGGTCTCTGTCAGATGAATGAGAATACAATAAGTGAGTATGTGACAGAATAATGGTCCTGCACCTTGGGATCAATTGTGTAGATCTCTGTCAGATGAATGAGAATACAATAAGTGAGTATGTGACAGAATAATGGTCCTGTACCTAGGGATCAACTGTGTAGGTCTCTGTCAGATGAATGAGAATACAATAAGTGAGTATGTAACAGAATAGTGGTTCTGTACCTTGGGATCAATTGTGTAGGTCTCTGTCAGATGAATGAGAATACAATAAGTGAGTATGTGACAGAATAATGGTCCTGTACCTTGGGATCAATTGTATAGGTCTCTGTCAGATAAATGAGAATACAATAAGTGAGTATGTGACAGAATAATGGTCCTGTACCTTGGGATCAATTGTGTAGATCTCTGTCAGATGAATGAGAATACAATAAGTGAGTATGTCACAGAATAATGGTCCTGGTCATATTTAATGGGTATCTATTTTAATGTTACTGAATCATGTGAAGGACCGGTATTTCAGGGGTATCTATTTTAATCTTACTGAATCATGTGAAGGACCGGTATTTAATGGGTATCTATTTTAATCTTACTGAATCATGTGAAGGACTGGTATTTAAGGGGTATCTATTTTAATCTTACTGAATCATGTGAAGGACTGGTATTTAAGGGGTATCTATTTTAATCTTACTGAATCATGTGAAGGACTGGTATTTAAGGGGTATCTATTTTAATCTTACTCAATCATGTGAAGGACTGGTATTTAAGGGGTATCTATTTTAATCTTACTCAATCATGTGAAGGACTGGTATTTAAGGGGTATCTATTTTAATCTTACTGAAGTATTAAAACTAGTTATAGAATCCAATCCAAATTCATTAAATGAACATAAGAACACCAGAATAAGTACAAGACATCAGTAAAAATGGGACAGTGAAAAAACCCTACAAAAACATCACCTACATAAGAAAACAGGGAGATGAATGAATGGAGTGGAGTGAAAATTATGTTTCTTTTCTCCAAAAAGACTTTATTTCTAATAATGCAATTAAGATTAACTCACAGATATAACAAACTTATTTTCAAAAACAATAAAAGTACCTTATAATTACCTCACACTTGTAGTTCCATACAGGGTTAATGTTGTCAGTAATTATGGCTGTTTTGAACTCCTCGTCTCCAACTGTTGGAACATTTTGGAAGTGCTATTTATTGTGATATTACTCAACAAACATCACCATTTCAATTACTGCTAAATCGGAGTGATTTCATCAAGAAGTTATAGAGTACAATCAAGTAAAAATCTTTAAAATCAGCTTACTACAGAAATATACACACTATGTCTTGCTGAAGTTACTAGTTAATGACAATGTTCAGTAAAAATTGAGGAAAGTTTAATATTATTTAATTGTATAACACCTCACAAGCAGTGGTGTAGCCACAAGTCACAATGAATGGAGCACTGCCGAACCTTTCAGCATCCAGACCCTTCATGATGGTCCCTGCTACTTACATAGAGGTTTTTCAAGCTCCCTGTAATGTATCTGTAAGGGCTTGTAAATCTCCTGCCCATCCATTGCAACTCTAAACCTCCCCCAAAATTTTATACCTGGCTATGCCCTTACTCACAAGTTCAATGTTCTTGAAGTGTTTGCAGTACAGATAGATATCACTTACATTCATACCTAGCTATGCCCCTACTCACAAGTACAATATTCTTGAAGTGTTTGCAGTACAGATACATACCACTTACATTCATACCTAGCTATGCCCCTACTCACAAGTACAATCTTCTTGAAGTGTTTTCAGTACAGATACATACCACTTACGTTTATACCTGGCTATGCCCCTACTCACAAGTACAATCTTCTTGAAGTGTTTGCAGTACAGATAGATACCACTTACATTCATACATGGCTATGCCCCTACTCACAAGTTCAATGTTCTTGAAGTGTTTGCAGTACAGATACATACCACTTACATTCATACCTGGCTATGCCCCTACTCACAAGTACAATCTTCTTGAAGTGTTTGCAGCACAGATAGATACCACTTACATTCATACCTGGCTATGCCCTTACTCACAAGTACAATCTTCTTGAAGTGTTTGCAGCACAGATACATACCACTTACGTTTATACCTGGCCATGCCCCTACTCACAAGTACAATCTTCTTGAAGTGTTTGCAGTACAGATAGATACCACTTATGTTCATACCTGGCTATGCCCCTACTCACAAGTACAATCTTCTTGAAGTATTTGCAGTACAGATAGATACCATTTACATTCATACCTGGCCATGCCCCTACTCACAAGTACAATCTTCTTGAAGTGTTTGCAGTACAGATAGATACCACTTATGTTCATACCTGGCTATGCCCCTACTCACAAGTACAATCTTCTTGAAGTGTTTGCAGTACAGATAGATACCACTTACATTCATACCTGGCTATGCCTCTACTCACAAGTACAATCTTCTTCAAGCACAGACAGATACCACAAAAGATGAATTGGAAATGTGTAAAACTACCATCTTGAGATTAATAAGATAATCATAAATAGCCTTACTTGTTACTATGGCATATGGATCAGAAGAGCCAAAACCAAAATCTGACTTTTGTAGCTGCTTTGCTTCCAAAACTTCAATTTGCAGAACACCCTAAACAGTAAAAGACATCACTCACTGATGTTTCAACTTACAAAAACAAAGGTTAAAGTAAAGAAATCATTTATAAGTAGTTTTAAATAGGCCAGTTATAAATTATAAATGAAAAAGTATATTACTTGTGTGACTTTAAATATATGAATTAATCTCAACTTTTCCAAATGAATGGAAGTACTGGGTGTATCTTTTACTTTAGGGTGCTCAGCAGTATCAATACATTTTGGAGGTTTGCACCCACAGAGCAGGTGTCTATGACTACATGTAAAAGACAACTCTTATTTAGCTGTGTCTAATAAATAAAAAAATCATTAAATGTGAATTCAAATTAATATGATAAGTATTTTATTGCTTCGAAAAGCTGTTCCAATTTTTAAGACATTTACCCAATTCACTGTCTGATCATTAAATGAAGTAATTGTACCTACACAATTATAATAATAAATTTCAAAATAATAAAACAACTATAATCACGAACACATGAAATACTCTAAACACTGGTATCAAAGTTGGACAAATACTGTAAACACTCGTATCAAAATTGGACAAATATTGTAAACACTTGTATCAAAGTTGGACAAATATTGTAAACACTTGTATCAAAGTTGGACAAATATTGTAAACACTGGTATCAAAGTTGGACAAATACTGTAAACACTTGTATCAAAGTTGGACAAATATTGTAAACACTGGTATCAAATTTGGACTAATACTGTAAACACTGGTATCAAAGTTGGACAAATATTGTACACACTTGTATCAAAGTTGGACAAATACTGTAAACACTGGTATCAAAGTTGGACAAATATTGTAAACACTGGTATCAAAGTTGGACAAATACTGTAGACACTGGTATCAAAGTTGGACAAATACTGTAGACACTTGTATCAAAGTTGGACAAATATTGTACACACTTGTATCAAAGTTGGACAAATACCGTAAACACTGGTATCAAAGTTG